TGCTGTGGTGTTGTCAGCCCAGGAGAGATCCTCTGTGATGTGCACACCCAGGAACTTGGTGCTGCTCACCCTCTCCACAGTCACACCATTGACGGACAGAGGAGCATGCTGAGTGCGCACTCTCCTGAAGTCAACAACAATCTCCTTCGTCTTCTCCACATTCAGAGAGAGATTGTTGTCACTGCACCACCCGGCCAGGCGGCTCACCTCGCTCCTATAGTTTGTCTCATCTTTGTTGCTAATGAGACCCACTACAGTCGTGTCATCCGCAAACTTAATGAAGAGGTTGGAGTTGTGTGACGGTGTGCAGTCGTGGGTCAGCAGAGTGAAGAGGAGGGGGCTCAGCCCACATCCTTGGGGGGCCCCAGTGTTCAGTGTGATGGTGCTGGATGTGTTGCTGCCGACCCGAACTGCCTGAGGTCTTCCAGTCAGAAAGTCCAACAGCCAGTTGCACAGCGAAGTGTTGAGCCCCAGCTGGACCAGTTTGTGAATGAAGACCAGTTTGTGAATGAGGACCAGTTTGTGAATGAGTTTGTTTCATGTGGCGATGGCTACAATCTAATGTTCCCAAAACACAGCTAGAGATGATCAGGGTGAGGATGCAGGTGATTTCCAGGCAACCACAGCAGTGAATCATGCTACTATACAGTGTAGATTGAGATAAATGATCAGTGAGCGGGCGTCATCTCTCATGCTCGCGCTGCTGTCAGGAAGCACATGGGGATGGCGCAGAGGAATGGCCACAGTCTAATCATATGTGACGACTCTAATGAGTCAGTCACTTGTCATTAAGCTGTGCCTAAAGCTTCCTAATAGAGTGTGGCTCATAAATCTATTTGCCATAATCAGGAAGAAATCAGTTGCACAGGTTTAGATTTATTTCCTAAGTATTTAGTCTGTGCATGAAATTATGTCACAGGTAATGCACACGAGTGATGATTTGCTGGCTGCTTCCAGATGTTTATTCTGATGCTTCTTGACATTATTTATGTATTATCTCTTTACAGGTGTCTTGATGTGTACAGGCAAATACATATAGTCATAATTAATGTATATTGCATATGCCTTTTCGAGATAAACTAGCTGTTTATTGTATACAACAGCCACTGGCTTACTCGTTTTTTTCCTCTTCCTCTTTCTCTAAAACAGCTACCCCTTGCATTAAGGCCATCAGTCCCAGTGAAGGCTGGACGACAGGGGGTGCCACAGTCATCATCATTGGTGATAACTTCTTTGACGGCCTACAGGTCATCTTTGGCACCATGCTGGTCTGGAGTGAGGTCAGTTACCTTTCTATGCAAACTTCTTCCAAAAATAAATCCATGCCATGCTCCCGCCAAAAAACAACAACAACAGAGATTTGGGAATCACAACTAGGATCAAACTGAATTTGAATACAAAGAAAAAGCAATTAATGCACCTTTTTAACTAAAATAGTTAAGCAACCTAATTAACAAATATGCCTGATATGGAAGATGCATTCAAAATCCACTTGGCTTACAAATATGAAAAGACACATGCCAGTTTGAATGGGCATAATGCTTCTGTTCTCATTTTTGGTCAGCCAGTCTGTCGGTTTTCCTGTCTGTCCATCTGTTTTGGTCTTTTACTCACTCAGTTTCTGCACTGCTCATGTTGGGAAGAGCTAGATGAAAGAGGTAATTCTATAAAAAGCTTCTCATTGACAATGCCATATTTATCTGAGAGGTGAGAAGAGCAGTGCCTGGCATATGAAAGCCCAGCTAAGTGAGCAATGAAAGGGACAGTTTAAAGCCATGTAAAGCAGCACCAGTGCTGCTGGCTTTGAATATGACAGAGCGTTTGCAGAGAAACTGAGCACTCGCAGCTGCTTTGTAGTTGCACGGATCCTCTTCAAAAGCGATTGAGCACAGTTTCACAAACACTATAAGCAGTCAAATCATAGTCTAATCAGAGAACAATACACTACTGTTTAATAGCTCAGCTAGACACGGGTAGCTTAAATGCATGTTTTTAATTTTTGTGAACTAGTTCTACAGTACAAGAGTCAGACAATTCAGATGCAAAAAAAGGTGGACAGAATTTTGATTATGAAATGACTTGGATTGTCTGCATCCACAACAAACAAAAGCTTTACTCTAATTGGCTGCATGGCGAGATTTGTGTCACCATATGCTACTAACTGAAAAGGTCATTTCTGACTCCAGTACTGACCAGTGACTTCTCATAACTTTATGTAGCATGTCATTGATATTTTTCTTATACTAAAATGAGGGACAAAATAAAAGGAAGAATAACTGAAACACTGATGCTCTCAACATCTCAAAATATACTGTAGGATATGTTCAGAATAGAATGCATTCTCAGAAAAAAGGTACGAAAGCTATGACTTGTGCGGTACCCTTTCAAAAGGTACTAATAGTATGTACACTTTACATACTAATATGTTTCATTTAGGTGTAAATAAGATACAAATATGTACCTTCTAGCTTTTGTACATTATGGTACAGCCCCATTGACAGCTTTGTACCTTTTGCTTAATATGTAATGTATACTCCACAGTATACACTGTATGCTGCCTATACAGTTTTTTTTAATAGCGTTAAACATTTAGAGCAACAATACAAGTAGGCCTATATTGTTGTCACATGACATAATTATGTTGCATGTGTGGAGGTGACCAATTATAATATTTAAAACAAAACTTAATTATGAATAATTGAATGAAAATACAGTATATTTAAAATAATAATAATTGAGTAAAAATGTCTTATCTTTTGGAAGTAAATGACCAAATAATGAATCATGAATGTTAAAAATTGATGTTGTGATCAGTTCAGGTTCCTTTGGAACACTGGAAATGAAAGGTCATACACATTGTATTGTGTTTATGTTAATATTTTGTAGCCTTATTTCAACCTATGTAATCTGTTTTATTTTGTCAACTAAAAAAAAAACACTTCTTATTTTCTCTTTCAGCTCATTACCCCTCACGCCATCCGAGTTCAGACTCCTCCCAGACACATTCCCGGGGTTGTGGAGGTCACTCTGTCTTACAAGTCAAAGCAGTTCTGCAAAGGTACACCAGGCAGATTTATCTACACAGGTAAGAATAACATTAAGCACCCTTAGCTATACTCAACCAGCTGTGTACAACCATCATGTCTTATTCCTTTTCAACTGTTCTTGATTTCTCGTCGTTCTGGGTTGAGTAAGTCACCCAGTGTTTCCTGTAGTGAGAAACCTACACCATAGAGGAATCCTACCTATTTCCTGAGCACACAGCTTAATGCGAACAACTGTGCCTCAAACTCCAGGAAGATCCTGCAGCCTGCACAGATAAGGGAAATGTAGGACTTATCTTATAGAGGAAAAAGAGGTCACTTGTGATATCTGCTGGCTTCAAAATGAGTTTACAGTACACTCTACGTATTGGGAGTTCAGCCAACTAGAAGTAATTAACTTTGGAGTTCCAGAAGTAAGGGAAACAAATGATGGAAGTGTATGATGGAATCTAATGGTAAAACAACATGAAATCAGTGGAGGAAGAGGTGAAGAGTTTGTTCGCTGATCTTGCAGCTTTTTTAGTTTAAATTTAGAGTTTGCAGTCAAAGTACAAGCACAGCTTTTCTGAAGAGTGTTAAAACGCTGAAGGGAGCAATGTTAAAGGCCTGTCTCATCAATAGGTTTAAACAGTGCACAGCTGTGGGTATTGTTGGCTCAGTAGGTGTCTATGTATATGCCTGTGCATTCGTGGGTGTGAATGAGTATGCTCTTTGGGTTTATGGCGCTGGACTTGGCTTCTTTTCATGGCCTATTCAGCGAGCACATGGGGAGGAGTGGAGGGAGGGATTTAGACGTTCGCACACAACCATACAAACACACGTTCAGCCACACACCCTCCAAAACAGAGGGCAGATGGTCACCCCATTTTATGGCTGCACTTCTAGATGTGCCCCTTTTGCTAAAGATTCAAGCTTAATAACAATCAAGAAAGCTTTTGATTAAATGTGCCATTTTAATGCGCACAGCACTCAAACTCAGTTTGAAACTCAATGCTGTTAATGACAAGAGACCAAATGCAGAGCTGTCGGTCTCTACACACATTAAAATGGCGCCCAGCCCTAAGGTTGGCCCCACCATTCTTCTCAGTTTGAAGCATTTTGGGCCATCTCTCTTCCTCTTGTCCCCCTGTCCCAGCTACTGCAGTGGGACGTCAGCCTGCATGTGTCTTTCTTTCCTGGCTCCAGTTGGCACCTGTGCTTTGCCCAGTTGCCAGTGGGTACTAATCATAGAGTATTGGCAAAGCTATGTGGCAGCTGGCAGTGGAATTACACATGGGGCATCTGGCACCTCTAATCAACTTCTGTCAGGCAGAGGAGATGGAGACCTAATTAAAGCAATGGTGCACTGATGCTGCCTCGCTCAAACACCACACAGCCATGCGGAAAGGCTGAGCCGTACCTGGAGAACATCCCTCACCGCCATGGTGGAGAGAAAAAAAATGTCATTTCATTTTGCTTTTTTACTTTGAATGCATGGTTCCCACAAGTATATATACTATGTGCATGATTTTAGAGTATTGTCTTTATGAGTAAATTATGACGCTGATTATATTTGACACTGTTCCGTCTGTAGTGATAGAGCTGTGTTTTGGCTTTGACTTCACTCTGATTATGAACCCAGCAGCCACCCAGTAAATGGATTCCTCAAAGGCCTCTCATTTCAGAAGTCTCGTATTCTCTAGGATTCTTGGCACACGCTCGTGTGAACTGTGCCTCTGGCTGGCCAACAGTTTGTAGTTAAGGGGATAGTTCAACCAAAAATGAAAATTCTGTCATCATTTACTCAACATTATATCGTTCCAAACACGTATGACTTTCACTCTTCTGTGGAAAACAGAAAGAGAAAATTCTAAGAAATGTGATGGGTGTTTTTCCATGCAACTATAATAAATGTGGTCTAAAGCTGAAAGAATCAAAAGCACTATAAAGTGTGCGTGTGTGTGTGTGTGTGTGTGTGTGTGTGTGTGTCTGTGTCAGTGTCTGTCTATCATATTGTGTTACAATTAGAAACAGAGATAGAGCAAAGTACCAGTAGTAGAGTACCAGGTAGTGTCACTAATGATAGATCATGAAAACATCAAAATTCAACTTTGGTTATGTGATGCACTGAGGTGTGATTTACAACAAGAGGCTACCTGTGTTAGGATTCATCTGACAGAAATTGAAGACAAGATAACTTTCACGCCGGGACAACAACAGCATTCACTACTCAGTACTCTGGAGAAGCCATAACACAGCACGGGCTCAACCTGGAGAGACACCTTCTTCCTTTTAGACAGCTGGATGGAGTACAACTGAATGGAGTAGAATGCAGGAAATTTTACGCAAAGTAGTTCAAATGACTTTTAACTTCACAAGCCATATTAAAAAGGAAATGCGTTTTCAAGGCAGCCGTGAGGAAAATATACGCATGTACTTATTCGGGTAATTACGATATAATACAGGAAGAGCAAAGAGACACATTTTCTGAGCAATATACCATCAGGTTTGCCAGTATGCCAGTATCTTTAATTTGTAGTTCATGTTTGCTGGGGGTTTTTAATACCTTTTGCAACAGTACCTATAGTAACGAGTATACGACACGTAAAAAACAAACAAACAGTGGAACGCGATGTAGTTACCAAATAAGTCGAAGACGCAGTATTGATATTTATAAATGCATTTATTAGACAAGCACTGGAGCAGACAAAACATCTCTCATGTTACTTTTATCTTAAATGCTCTTTTTCAGTAAATGTGTGGTTTTCAGTAAATAATAACTTAAATTTTGGTCTGCTTCTCACATAAAGATATCATTTAAGGTATGAAGTTTGACAGCTCCAGTCCCCATTCATTGAATTCAGCTGAATGGAAGAATGAACACTAGATTTTTTTGTGCACTATGGAAGAAAAAAAACATACGGTTTGGAACCATACAAGGGTGAGGAAATTATAGAATAAAGGCAATACCAGAGTACAATTAACTGAAATGAACAACATTTTTCAGTAATGTGTGGTACAGTAGCGATCATTTCCCATCTCACCAGGCACTTTTCTGCATTGCTGGAATGCTAAAGTTAAGGCCCTTTGACAAACCCAAGCTTTAATGAGGAAGACCCAGTCAAAGTGATGTCACCCACAGTTACTGGGCCTCTGCAATTAAACATCCAGAAGCTCTCTGCAATTATATTTATCATCAGAAACAATTAAACACTCACTGCCTGGGACATTACCCATCCTGCATGGCACTCCACAGATAAGAGGGATGAATCATTCCTCCCTACTTTCTCTCCCTCGCCCTCCCTTTCAATTCATCTGCAACAAATGCATTTCCATGTTTGGTTGTGTATTACTTCTCACCAGATTGCCATGTTTGCATCATTCGTCAAAGGGGTTTTCCGTCTGTTTTTGAGGGAAAGAGGCAGAGTTATAATGCTATCTGCCAGTGAGCGTATGTGAAGCCCTGTGCGGCCGATAGATTGGAGGTGTTGATGAATCACTTGAAATGTTCAGCAGGCAATTCGTTGCTGCTCAGTATGCAGGCCAGTGGGCTGAACAGCACCCATCAGGCCTGATATTAAAAGACTCTGCTCGATCACATTAGAGGGAGCTCTCTATGCCTGCCCAATGATTAAGTCTATGGGAGGCATTTGTCACTTTAGTTGAAGAAAAGCCAGACTTCACATCATACATGCATTCACCCTCTCTTTTAATGCAAATGCATGGACGTTGGGGTCCAAAAGTGTGAGACGACAAGGAAAAATCAGTTTGATACAAAATTATATCAGCTTAACAATTTGAGTTAAAAGTTAGCTTGTGTTGAAGCTCAGAATGTTTTAATATTTACTTTGCTCATCCTTTTGCACTCAAGCTGTGTGGACTTTACAAGTTTGTGTAAAACCTGATGATCATGTTATCCAGCATAATTTTATGAATGATCCAACGAGCAACTTGCGCTTCAATGTAAACACAAACATCTGTTTTTTACATTTTTTTTATTAATGGCCTAGAAATATTTCATATTTGTTTTAGATTGTTCATACTGTATTTGTTTTACATCGCTGCTCTTTTAATGATTCAAAATCCTAAATGATACTTTTAAAAGAACACTTTTCTATTTTGATATATTTTAAAAAGTAAATTATTTCTGTAATGGCAATGCTAAATTTTCAGTTACCTTTCTTCATTCTATTTTGCTGATGTGGTGCTCAAGATTGTGTTCAACATTTCTTGTTATAATTAATGTTAAGACTGTTGTGTTGGTTAATTTTTTTGTGGAAACCATGATGCATTTTTTTCAGTATTCTTTGGATATAAAGTTCAAACGAACATCATTTATATTATTATTTTTTTTTTTTTTATGTAACATTACAGTATGAATGTTGTTGCTGTCATTTTCAATATATTGAATGCATTCCTGCTGACTAATGAAATAAATAAATAAATATTACTCACCCCAAACCTTTAAACGTTAATGTAAATAATAATCTCTACATGGTCTCAGACTTTTGGACCCCACTGTAAATGTAAATCCTTCATGCATTCATAGTCACCAACTTTTTTTTTTTCAAGCACTAGATTTGACGGAGGCTTTCTTCTTGAGTGGGTTGAGTGATCGTTCGATTTTGATAATGAGTCTCTTTAATTCTATTGACAAATGGGGTCACACTAGGTGATCAATGATAACCATTCCAATTAAATTGCTAAACCTCTGCATGGTAGAGATTATGGCCATAAAGATATAGAGCAATTGGTTTGCTCAACAGCGGGGCGCCTTCAGTGGGCCATTTCACACAGATGTCTCTGTCTTTTAGAAGCTGCTGCTCACGATCAAGAAAAACAAGTCATCCATTTTACGGCCACAGGTTCCAAGATTTTTTCTCCCCCCATGTCTTAAAGTGATGCCTTATTTAGCTTGTCGGATTTTCCAAATAAACGCAATCACTGGGTTTATGGAAAAATGGATAAAAATGAGATTGTAAGGTATTGATCCCGGCATAGGGAGGGCTGAGGAAAAACAGGCCTCATCTATATAAGGAGAGAAATGAAGCAATAATTCAGG